TCGGAGGGCTCTACAAAATCCGGCCTCATATCCAGGTAACAGCTTCTCCAAACATAGAACCCAACAACATGCCCATGGGGATCCACCCACCCTCAACGTAAAAGTCCTACACCGTTCCGTTGAAAACACAGTGGAACGCAAAATACTGGAGGCTCTGGAAATAAAAAGACTAGCCCCGGAAATAAATAGCAGAGACGAGTTACGTGACTCTCTTCAACTCATCGCATCACTGCAGTTGTCATAGTGTGGAATGAATGCGTAATGCATGACAAGGGTAACAAGCGCCGATAAGTAGCCTCAGAGGGGAGGTGACAAAGGTTTAGTTAGGATGGCAACAAAACTACGACTACGATACTGAAAATCAAGGTCCTAGCTGCAATGATTCAAGTACGGCACTACGATGAGCTATAAAATTCAAAAATAATAAGAAAGTACGAAGTAAGAGCCACCAAGTTGATCACAGCTTCGTTATTGGCTTATAGTTTCAGAGTCGCTGCAGGAATTAGGTAAAGGCAGACTCCGGGATGAAACGAGGCTCTTCCTTACTTCACCTGTTCGAATGTGAAGAGCTGGGTGCTAATTGAAAGTTGATCAAGGCAATGAAAAAGCAGGAAATATCTCCAAAAAACTCCAAAATTAGAAATTCCCTTTCGTTGGTCGCTTAGTTTCCTGTGATTCTCTTTGTTTGTTTCCTATCTTAAATTTTTTCTTCTCACTAGAATGATGACAACGTTCTCGAAAATGGTCGTAACATAGGCTTTGATGTTGATTTTCGCAGTTGAAATCCGCTAAATATTCCCCTACGACTTTCCAAACAACGGCTTAACATCTAGCGTTCCAGTGGTTGTTTGGAAGATCACGTAGGACAGTGGGCGGGCTCAATGGGGTTGGGGCGGCGCCAATGCTCCAACCTAGGCTCCTAGCGCCTAAACCTTATCAAAACGCCCCGCCACTTCTGCACATGGTCTGCCCTTGCGTACTGCTGCATATTTGACGGGGAAAGCTGAATTTCGTCAGAAATCGCAGAATTTGCCTTTAGCGAAACGTGACTATATGTTGAGGCCATTCTAATACTTACATGTTACACTTGTATTAAATTCGCATTACATGAAATCAAGGAAATCAAGGAAGCTCTTTGCAGAGGTCAGTCAAAAAACATACTGCAACATGGACATCTTTAATTTCTTCACATACAGAATCTCAGGTCCTTCAGGATCCAATGGAACTTTAAAAGTAGGGCAAACACTCAGGTGCGCCTCTTTCGTTGCTGTCCATTTCTATGTATTGGAAATCTTACATGCACACTGCTTATTTTTGGTGAATAATTAGAAATTGTAGTGAAGCATCTAAATGACTTATCTGCAATGTGACCGACTAGGGAAAGTACAGGCTATGCTTCAGAATGAAATTTCTGCAGATGGTCAGGTTCTGCTTCTCGGTCATGGTCAGAGATGCATGCCGTTCCCATCGAAACTTCATTCTGCTACAGCCCGTTTCATTCAGCCAGCTTGCGGTGGTGCATCGGCTGTGCCCAGGTATCTGCTACAAATCTCAGGTGGTGGTTAGCATCGGTGGGAACTTCGATCACAGCGCAATGATCTCGCCGGGTGGCTTAGAAATGAGGTCACTTTGCAGCTTGTATCGCTTGCCGATGTTTCAAGGCAATAGCCAGTGCTCATCATGTAGCAAAGACTGACAAGGGAAGGATCCTAGGTCGAAGTGGCCATTCGTAATGAAACCTATACTCACATACGTGTTTTCGGACGCTGATTTCAAATCCGTCCTCCAAATTTGCGGAACGATTCTCTGAACAGAGTTACAAAGGTTTCAAATGAATGGCTGTTAGAAGAGACACCCTCAGCCCACTGCCGGCAGCGGCGGCCTGGCAGAGTGGTAGTGGGGGCGCATGTTGGTGGTGAGACTATGGTTCGGATCCTGGTCATGATGAAGTTTTGCATTTTGTAATTTTGCTTGTTTTCAAGCTGAAAGACCATTCAGTGTTGAAATTACGCCATGGACAACGCTTTCAAGTGTTTGCAACGTGTTTGCATGCTCCTTTCAAGTACGACCTAATTTCTTTATGAAGTTTTCGATCAATTATTGTACAGGGTAGGGTATGGGGTACTGCCACGTCACAGAAAGTGACGTCATTGTCAGTGACAGAGACCAATCTATAAACGGCAAAGATACCAACAACAGAACACGTTGCAAACACTTGACAGCGTTGTACATGGCGTAATTTCAACACTGAATGGTCTTTCAGCTTGAAAACAAGCAAAATTACAAAATGCAAAAACTTCATTGACCAGGATCCGAACCATAGTCTCACCACCAACATGCGCCCCCACTACCACTCTGCCAGGCCGCCGCTGCCGGCAGTGGGCTGAGGGTGTCTCTTCTAACGGCCATTCATTTGAAACCTTTGTAACTCTGTTCAGAGAATCGTTCCGCAAATTTGGAGGACGGATTTGAAATCAGCGTCCGAAAACACGTATGTGAGTATAGGTTTCATTACGAATGGCCACTTCGACCTGGGATCCTTCCCTTGTGAGGCAAACACAGCGCTGGTCTTGCCTTACTGCACTCCTTGCAAGGTTCTTCTTTAAATGATCGTTAAGCATAATCGCCTGCTTTGGTCGTTGATCCATTTCGATCCCTACTTACTTATTCCACTGCCCTTTGACCTTCTGGAACATCCTAGTTTAAGGTACTGATGCCTCCTTCAACATACTAACTTATTTCGTAATGACACTAATTTGACATGAAGAAAATTGATTCTGAAAAAATTCGGCCAAATTGGATACCAATAGAAAATGTAGGAGACAGCTTAACAAAACCATTAGAAAGCTTAAACCGTCCGCTTTTCACAGCCGTCTTCTTTTTTCAGAGATCTTACAAAATGAGAGAGATGGCGTTTTAAATGTCGAAAACAAAATCGCCACGAAATGTGCATCTGACAGCTCCTCTACAAGATTGAGAGACCCTATTCTCGTCGAGTGTAAAGCTTTCAGATCAATTTCAATATTGCCCGGTAGTAGCAAATCCAGCTCTATCTAACCTACCACATACTGCTCCAAAACTTATGAAATGGGGGAATGGAACCTTTTCATCGAGAGTGTAGATTTCGACGGTTTCGAGCGGGGTTTCGGCAAATCTGACCCACGGGATAAACCGCGCTGCAACCAGGCGTCAACCGTCACGTTGGACCGATTTCTAAAATTTACGACCCCTCCTTGGAGAGCCTGGGATACGAAACTCGCTAACACCATAATCTTGTCTGTGGGATTTCTATGTGGGTGCTGTAGAATTTCTTTTTATTGGCAGTTTCACTGACAAATGATTTTCACATCAATAATAAATATGACATCAATAATATAAACATTGACGTTCTAAATACATCAGCCAGTAAACATCAAAAAATGTTAGCACCAAGCACATCAAGATTTTCGCAAATAAAAAAATGGAAGTACTCGTTATTTTGGGAGGCGACAAGCAGCCGCGCGTTCGCTCACGTGTAGCTAAGCATTTGGCGTGCAGGCAGATTTTGTGCGTTCTTCATCTCAATGATCTGACAAAAAGAAAAAGAAAAATATACTGAAAAAAGCAAAGTGTAAGGAGACGAAATAACTCACAATGGCGGATACGAATATTGAGAGAAAACGGATATTCCAATACGAACTTGCAATCATGGAGACCGTACTCCACACCTGATGGGATCACCATGATAATGCCGTATGTTAACGAAAAAACAGCATGGAAGGTCAACAATGTCGTAAGGAATTCCTCGCTCCCAGTACGACTTGTGTTCCGCCCACCCCCGAACTTGAAGCGACTGCTGACATACTCCAGACCTTACGAGGATAAATGTGGGAGGAATGGTTGCATCTACTGTAAGGACGACAAAATATGCCAACTAAGAGGTACAGTTTATGCAATAGAATGCCAAGGATGTGGGCATAAGTATGTTGGAGAAACAAGAAGACCTCTCCACAAACGACTCGATGAACATCGGAGGGCTCTACAAAATCCGGCCTCATATCCAGGTAACAGCTTCTCCAAACATAGAACCCAACAACATGCCCAAGGGGATCCACCCACCCTCAACGTAAAAGTCCTACACCGTTCCGTTGAAAACACAGTGGAACGCAAAATACTGGAGGCTCTGGAAATAAAAAGACTAGCCCCGGAAATAAATAGCAGAGACGAGTTACGTGACTCTCTTCAACTCATCGCATGACTGCAGTTATCATCACTGTGGAATGAATGCGATATTTTGGGAAATAACGGTCGTAGCACGTCAACGCTATTTAAGGGTAAGTCTAGGGTAGGGAACAGTTCCTGCTTCACAGACCGACAAGGGTGGTAAGTGTTACACTTTTGAAAGTGGACAGCAGGTGGGTCAGTTAATATATTTTAATATATTAACAGACTTTAAGAAAGCTTTAATTTTCATTTCAGGCTCGACAAAGGCGCTAAGCGCCGAAAGCTCGCCAAAAAAGGCTTAAACTTTTGCAAAACTTTTGCAAACACACATTTTTGCAATTTCTTTTGTAGAAAGTTTTGAGTCTTTTGCAATAAATTTTGAAGTCTCACATTGTTTAATACACATTTAATAAAATATGTTAATAGTACGGGAAGAACAATT